GTGGTGACATCTCGGCAGGGTGACACTCGGTTACCGCTCCGGGTGTCACCCAGCCTCGGGACACCCCTGAATCTATGCAATTTGCTATTTTGCGAATGCTGTATTTGCTTCTTTTGGTGCAACAATTTGTATTGAGTACTAATTTGTATTGAGATTGTAGTCCATCATGGGAGTGGCTACTTGACAACACACACACACAGAGGGGGAACAAAAGTAGCCACCCTCTAGAAGGAAGGACAGTGTCAGCACCAATTCAGAGATGATTTGAGGAACTATAGCCGACTGATGCACATTAAAATGCATTCAAGTACCCTATTCACGTAGCTTATAAGATTTACCTACTGACTTCATATAAAAGTATATTTAAAAATGACCCATCAAATAAAAATCCCGAAAAGCAGAGAGCTATACAAGTATGTCAGATAGCATTTTTCTTTAAATAAGATTGAAAGTGAATCTAAACAAGCCTTTTGGTAAATAACTTTAATAACAACAAAAACAGTTCAATTAACTGATAAAATTAATCAATCTGCACACATTACAGCATGAGGTAGAATGACTAGCGAAGCCAAATTCACCAAGTTTTTTTGGTCAATAAAGTCCCTTTTTAAGCAGCATATTTAAATTCTATATCACGTAAAAACATTTGTATAAGTTATAACAAAATAGGCTTGGTGCTGATATAACTAACTCAGATTACATTCAATATCGATATATTTCATGACCTAGGCAACCTTGGCATAGTAATAGCTGTAATCGGTGAAATGAACGATAACACCATTAAAAACATTGTATGTCCATGCTCTCTCTTTGGCAGCAGTTTGTAATGTCAAACATTTTATATAGCGTTCAACAAACGTTTTTATAAATGGTAACATTAGAAAACGGGTACAATTTACAAAGATCACGGAGGACATTTTGTGTTACAACAGGTCCACAGGATGAATGTTTTTCCCTCACCCAAATGAATTAATTTAGTGCAAATCGAAAACAATATAGACTGGAGGAAAAAAAAAACCTACAGCGCTGTGAAACTGGGAGAAAGGGCCCAAGCAAAATGAAATATTAAACAGAATACACTCTCAATACAGAAAGACAGATTAAATATGGTCCTTTAATCTTTACCACACTTGGCCCAATTAGCATTTCATCCTTCCAGGAAAACTCCCAGTCTGGAAACTGATTGCTTTACAGGCCAAAATGAATGGTGACCCCTTTGTTCTTTAAAAGTCCAAAAACACAATAAGGAGTGCACCAAAGGCAAGATCATTTTGTAAAGCAATAAAAAAAAAAAATATGTGCAACACTAATCAATGCAATGTATAATACAAGTATGCAAATCTTTTTTTTATATATTAAATATTTTGTTCTAATTTGTAATCATTCTGTAATAGCTTAACACTATTTCAAACCGAAGCTAAAAATGAGCCTTAAAAAGTGAAAAAGAAAGACCTCAGTTTGTTTGTTACCTGCATGTTTAGCAAGACATCTGAATGAAATACAAACATTTGGCCCATTTTTCTTTGGTCGTTTAAAGGAAACAAATTTGGATGCTGGCATTGCCGTTTTGTTTTGGAGGATGCTTTTATCAGAGATGTCATTCTCATCCTCCCTCAGAACAAGCATGTGATTGACATCTGATATACACATTCTTGTTCTGGGTCAGCAACTCAGCATGCATTACAACACTGGAACATGCGTCTGCAAAAGCAAGTTGACAGTACCCATATAGCTAAAGCACATTAAGTGTTTTGTTTTTTTAAAGTGTGTGCATCTAAGGGTATATCTGAACAAGTAAAAAGAAATGTATGCTACACAATCTACACATTTAGGAATAAACTGTATATTGGGTATGCATTTTTTTTATAACCTTGCAGTTTCAGAATAACCGTAGTGTATACTTGCTGCCTTATGTGCATTCTCTGTTCTACATCCTAGAGCAATACGTCTTCAGTAAGGCTTCTCCAAATGGTTTGAAATTGTTAGTTTCACCAGAAATTCAGGCCAGAAAAGCAGACACAAAATGTAGACTTCTCTTCTTCCCTTGAACATCAAGGAATCACGTTTCTTAAAAACACACACTTTAAATGCCATTTGAAAAACAGGAGCTAAATGCAACCTTTTAACCTACATGTATTATAACGAGGTCGCTTTCAATATGAAGATTATGAATTTGTGCTGGTTTTACATAGCAATATGTGAGGGAAGTGAAATAAGTTTCATTGGGAGCAGTGATAGTAAACGGTCTAGGCACTATAAGGAATCCTAATATCTTGTAGTCCTATTCTAAAAAAAAAGGACTGTGCATACACTTGAGCAGATTCACAATAAAATGTGCCTTTGAATGTTGGCAAACCAATCGGTTTCATGTATGGGTGTACCATTTAGATGACGTTTGGTTAGAATACAAGAATATATGTGGACTCTAAAATATATTTGGCACACTTCTCTCTTCACAAATGTAACTGGAAACGCATTCAAATGTTGACTCACAAAGACCCGTCATTCAGCATGGTGTCTCCCAGAAGTCTTGTTTGGCCACAAATTGCATTGTACAAAGCATAAAAAACATAATTGGTAACATAGCAAGAGATTTATCCACTAGTCATTTTTGTGCTAATTATAAAAGGTTGGTAATCAATCAGCCTGCAAATGTGATGGTCCAAAGACCCAGGATGATAACTTATGAAAGTACGTATCACCAATATTGAAATCAAACAAGGCAAAAGCACTGAAGTCTTCATTTGTCCAACAGACGGCCTGAAAGGTCATCTTGGTTATGTGGACTGTCCTTCCATTACTCAGAAATTTTTTTCATCTGAATTCACCAACTTCTTCACATTCGCAGGCTAACCTTTTATAGCCACTTTTCTGTGACTTTGTTGCAAAAGGGAAATAAATAAAAGTCTCCAACATTTAAATGTGTCGCCCAGTAAGGAAATAGAGTGGTTTGTCATCGATGCTATTAGCAGTCTGGAACTCATCGCGCAGTCTGAATTGCCATTCATCCTCCAACTCCAAACGTACAATGGTCTGCCGCAGAGAACTCCTGTCCTGACATATAACACAGAGTGTAGCACCTGCAAGTAAGATCAATAATTGTATTGGTGGTGTAACTCTGTACACATTGTAAACTCCAAAGAAGCATGAACATTTCGTATCTGAACAGCCTACTGAATATCTTTAATTTCCTATCTTGGCATTCATATTATATCCATAGTTCCTCTTCGGGGAAATATTAGGCGTCTAAAAAGCCCCTTGATATATCCCTTTTAAAATAGAAAAAGAAATTGAGGACACAAAGTCCTCAATCTCTTTTTCTGCAGTCTCCATTCTAAATGAATGGAAAGCAAAGAGGCTTCCCATTCATTCAGAAAATATTTTACTATCAAGCAGTTTCTGAATGGGGAGGAGCCTTTGTACAGAGTACTTCTCCCCATTGAGAAACTCATGCATGAACAGGACGTGATGTAAATCACCTCTTGTTCATTCATTTATAACTGGGGACACATAGTACTATGTGTCCCCAGTTATTTACAAACACTGGAGTGATCAGACGATCGCTCCAGTGTTTGTCCTGCACAGAGGATTGGTACATACTAGTGACATGTACCGATCCTCTGCCGCTCGTCCACGCACAAGGGGGCTCAGCTTCTCCTCTGGATCTCTCCCAGTCTGGAAACTGATTGCTTTACAGGCCAAAATGAATGGTGACCCCTTTGTTCTTTAAAAGTCCAAAAACACAATAAGGAGTGCACCAAAGGCAAGATCATTTTGTAAAGCAATAAAAAAAAAAAATATGTGCAACACTAATCAATGCAATGTATAATACAAGTATGCAAATCTTTTTTTTATATATTAAATATTTTGTTCTAATTTGTAATCATTCTGTAATAGCTTAACACTATTTCAAACCGAAGCTAAAAATGAGCCTTAAAAAGTGAAAAAGAAAGACCTCAGTTTGTTTGTTACCTGCATGTTTAGCAAGACATCTGAATGAAATACAAACATTTGGCCCATTTTTCTTTGGTCGTTTAAAGGAAACAAATTTGGATGCTGGCATTGCCGTTTTGTTTTGGAGGATGCTTTTATCAGAGATGTCATTCTCATCCTCCCTCAGAACAAGCATGTGATTGACATCTGATATACACATTCTTGTTCTGGGTCAGCAACTCAGCATGCATTACAACACTGGAACATGCGTCTGCAAAAGCAAGTTGACAGTACCCATATAGCTAAAGCACATTAAGTGTTTTGTTTTTTTAAAGTGTGTGCATCTAAGGGTATATCTGAACAAGTAAAAAGAAATGTATGCTACACAATCTACACATTTAGGAATAAACTGTATATTGGGTATGCATTTTTTTTATAACCTTGCAGTTTCAGAATAACCGTAGTGTATACTTGCTGCCTTATGTGCATTCTCTGTTCTACATCCTAGAGCAATACGTCTTCAGTAAGGCTTCTCCAAATGGTTTGAAATTGTTAGTTTCACCAGAAATTCAGGCCAGAAAAGCAGACACAAAATGTAGACTTCTCTTCTTCCCTTGAACATCAAGGAATCACGTTTCTTAAAAACACACACTTTAAATGCCATTTGAAAAACAGGAGCTAAATGCAACCTTTTAACCTACATGTATTATAACGAGGTCGCTTTCAATATGAAGATTATGAATTTGTGCTGGTTTTACATAGCAATATGTGAGGGAAGTGAAATAAGTTTCATTGGGAGCAGTGATAGTAAACGGTCTAGGCACTATAAGGAATCCTAATATCTTGTAGTCCTATTCTAAAAAAAAAGGACTGTGCATACACTTGAGCAGATTCACAATAAAATGTGCCTTTGAATGTTGGCAAACCAATCGGTTTCATGTATGGGTGTACCATTTAGATGACGTTTGGTTAGAATACAAGAATATATGTGGACTCTAAAATATATTTGGCACACTTCTCTCTTCACAAATGTAACTGGAAACGCATTCAAATGTTGACTCACAAAGACCCGTCATTCAGCATGGTGTCTCCCAGAAGTCTTGTTTGGCCACAAATTGCATTGTACAAAGCATAAAAAACATAATTGGTAACATAGCAAGAGATTTATCCACTAGTCATTTTTGTGCTAATTATAAAAGGTTGGTAATCAATCAGCCTGCAAATGTGATGGTCCAAAGACCCAGGATGATAACTTATGAAAGTACGTATCACCAATATTGAAATCAAACAAGGCAAAAGCACTGAAGTCTTCATTTGTCCAACAGACGGCCTGAAAGGTCATCTTGGTTATGTGGACTGTCCTTCCATTACTCAGAAATTTTTTTCATCTGAATTCACCAACTTCTTCACATTCGCAGGCTAACCTTTTATAGCCACTTTTCTGTGACTTTGTTGCAAAAGGGAAATAAATAAAAGTCTCCAACATTTAAATGTGTCGCCCAGTAAGGAAATAGAGTGGTTTGTCATCGATGCTATTAGCAGTCTGGAACTCATCGCGCAGTCTGAATTGCCATTCATCCTCCAACTCCAAACGTACAATGGTCTGCCGCAGAGAACTCCTGTCCTGACATATAACACAGAGTGTAGCACCTGCAAGTAAGATCAATAATTGTATTGGTGGTGTAACTCTGTACACATTGTAAACTCCAAAGAAGCATGAACATTTCGTATCTGAACAGCCTACTGAATATCTTTAATTTCCTATCTTGGCATTCATATTATATCCATAGTTCCTCTTCGGGGAAATATTAGGCGTCTAAAAAGCCCCTTGATATATCCCTTTTAAAATAGAAAAAGAAATTGAGGACACAAAGTCCTCAATCTCTTTTTCTGCAGTCTCCATTCTAAATGAATGGAAAGCAAAGAGGCTTCCCATTCATTCAGAAAATATTTTACTATCAAGCAGTTTCTGAATGGGGAGGAGCCTTTGTACAGAGTACTTCTCCCCATTGAGAAACTCATGCATGAACAGGACGTGATGTAAATCACCTCTTGTTCATTCATTTATAACTGGGGACACATAGTACTATGTGTCCCCAGTTATTTACAAACACTGGAGTGATCAGACGATCGCTCCAGTGTTTGTCCTGCACAGAGGATTGGTACATACTAGTGACATGTACCGATCCTCTGCCGCTCGTCCACGCACAAGGGGGCTCAGCTTCTCCTCTGGATCCCCCTGCTCTCCCGGGCAGAGGCAGCGGGGGATCCAACGAGAAGTGAAAGAGCATTTCAGCCGCGGGGGGGAAAACGCTGTGACAGAACGGATGAGCAGTGAGTGGAGATAGAAGCGCCGGCTGTCAGATACTGGCCGAGCGTCTCTCTCTCTCTCTCTCTCCTCACCGCTCTTCATTAGTTCTGTGACAGCGGCTCCGCCCTCCTCCCCCGCCGCCGGTTCCTTCACTTCTTCTCGGATCCCCGCTGGGGAGAGCAGCGGGGGTACAACGAAGCGGCGGGAGGAGAGGACAGTGCGATCTACCAGTGATCGCTACGCAATCGACTGGTAGATCGCGATCGACCTTGTGGGCACCCCTGCTCTAGGACATGAAGTGTGTTATTGGCAGGATCACCAGGTGGAAATAAAGGAAAAAAGCCTTGTAAAGAAAATGAATGCAAAGAATACATCTAAGGACTACATCGCAATATAGAAAATTTTTGTTCTCAAGTTAAGATATGACTTAAACCTTTTCTAAGGGAAATACAGAGCTACTGCTGATATTTGCCTGACTGTTATATGGACCCTCTGGCTTCAGTAATTTTGTGTCGCTAATCCAGAACAAGTATCCATACTAGGAAATTAGAAGTCCATATCTGCATAAATCTTGATTAGTGACTTAATTCTGGAACCAAAGGGGAAGCATGACATGCAGGCAGATACCACTTGCTCGTTCTGAAATGCTAACAGCCTACATGTTTTTCTCAGGAGGTATAGTTGCAATGCTAAAGCCTTAAATCCCAGCTCCAGACAATTTTTTTTTAAATAATTGGGTTGAAACCTTTAACAAAGAATAGGAAAAGGAGAGGAAATCTCTCTGAATGGGGCACAGATATTTAAAACCTGATAAAGTCCAAAACTTGTTGTGTACTGCATCTAAATACAAACACAAGCTTTCAGCTACTGGAGTATCTCTTTTCTTTCTATTATTGTAACTGTGAAAAGATACCATTGGCAAGACATTTGCACGATACTGAAAAACCTAACAGAGGTTCTAACTCTTTCTCACTCAATTGCAAACAAAAATGAAATTATGGCTGAAGTTAGGCTTCAGTACTGTAATATAAACATGTCTTGGCAGAAGGTTAAAAGAGAAGCATGTACCTTTAAGAAACCTGAATTTCTTTAGCATTCCTGCGCAGACAAAGGAGTTGCACAAATAAAGCAGAAGTCCACTGAATGCAAGTCCATCACAGTTCACATTTACAGAGTGTGGTCTGGAGCTCATATAGCACAGCGTCACCTGAAATGGGGAACATCAACAGTTCGTCTTATATGTTGACTTAAATGAAGAGACATACCTACATTAACAGACTATACATTTTGATTCAGGAGATGCTGAACAAATATGCTTAAAAATAATGTATTGATTCCTTTTTTTTTTTAACAGTTAATGTTGTGTCATTGAACATTTTGGAAGTACGTAAAATATGTATTAAAGCAAAGATGTATATTAAAAGTAGGTAGTACAAATTGAACAACATTAACATGTTACAGGACTCTTATCCTTTCAAGCATCCTGGACATAGTAAGAAGGCACATACAATAATTCTTACCTCAGGTCCTAGATTCAGGTAGCAGTCTACAGCCAATAATGGGTTCCTGGGATTGTTCAAGGCCTTTGGAAACAGCTTGAGAGCGCTGTACTGTAGAAACTTCTCCAGCAGGAACTGTGCTGGAGCTGCCAGGAGCGTCTGCTCACTGTCCGGAGCACACACAAAATGTATAGGAGAGATGGGACCAATAGTTTCCGTTATCTACAAAAAAAGGAGAAAGAACGCAAGTTAAGGACTGTATCCTTGCCTATACACAAACAATACAAACTAAGAGTGAAATATTCAGTGCTAAACTGGATGAAATACCTGCTTCAAAGCACAACAAATGTCAAGAAAGGTTAGTGGTTTTAAACCTCTAGTGCAACATAAATACTAAAATCTGTAGGGATCAAGACCAGGGAGTCTCAAAGACACTGTACACCTTGTTAAACCTGCAAACCTATTACTCTACTTGCTCATTGGTGGTTTTGATCAATAAAGAATAATAAAAAAAAAAAAGTATGCAAACCCTAAAAAGAATTTGGCATCATTTTAAAACAGAAAGAATGGATTGCACTTTCAGGAAAAACATTTAATTTTCTTATATAGTTCTATATAGTAGATGTTAAAAGTATTTTTAGTAACAGCGATGAAGCAGATTGATGAAGCTTAGGAGTTCAAATGCAGGACAGAAGGACGTCAACCACAAGTCAAATGCCCCTCTCAAACTTTGAACGTTTCAGAAGCATCCTAAAGTGATCTCAAATGAATGTAGAATGCATTAAGCTGCATACAGTGGGGCAAAAAAGTATTTAGTCAGCCACCAATTGTGCAAGTTCTCCCACTTAAAACGATGAGAGAGACCTGTAATTGGCATCATAGGTAGACCTCAACTATGAGAGACAAAATGATGGAGGGAGTTGAAAGTCCGTGTTGCCCAGCGACAGCCCCAACACATCACTGCTCTAGAGGAGATCTGCATGGAGGAATGGGCCAACATACCAGCAACAGTGTGTGCCAACCTTGTGAAGACATACAGGACACGTTTGACCTCTGTCATTGCCAACAAAGGATATATAACAAAGTATTGAGATGACCTTTTGATATTGACCAAATACTTATTTTCCACCATAATTTGCAAATAAATTGGTTCCAAATCAGCCGATGTGATTTGTCTGGATTTGTTTTCTCATTTTGTCTCTCATAGTTGAGGTCTACCTATGATGCCAATTACAGGCCTCTCTCATCTTTTTAAGTGGGAGAACTTGCACAATTGGTGGCTGACTAAATACTTTTTTGCCCCACTGTATGTGCCAACACTGACTAAAAATGGCTCAGCCCTTCCCCATTTCAAGGCCTAACGCATGGAGTATCAGGCTATTTAGCTGTCTCTCCTAGTAGGCAATCAGTGTTTATGATGTCATAAGCACTTGATATTGAACACAGAGATTCCCAAGCTAGTTGGAAAATTACTGGAACCACCTGGCTGATCCTTCTTATCTCAGTAAGCAGTGGTAAAGAGATTAACTATAAATGTGCCACTTCGCTCAACTGAAGATGTAGAAAAAATAGCTAAGAATTGAGCCATGGAGTTTCAAAATTTAAGAAAAGAACTTCCAGATTTAACATTTCAAAAGAAATAGCAAGTGGACATAATGTGTTATATTTTGTTAAATCCTTTCAACTAATGGCACACTGTTCTTTAGTAACATAAATTGATTTTAGAAATAACATTTGTTGCAATTGGTTCTACTACTTCTCCAAAGGTCTTGTTGGTTGGGAAAGTACCAGTCATCACTGTATATTAGAAAAATAGAAAAGTGGAAGGATATATTCACCAGTGTGCTGGTAAAGTAGAAACAAGGGTTAGAAACCTTAATACATAAACCCTCTCTATAATATGAAATTAACATATTGACATACCATAACAATTGACATACCATAACTTTGGGCTTGACAATGAAGTCCTTGTGTCCTCCCACGTGTATGTGCTTCTTCATTAGGCTAAAGTTGTTGAAGCGGCAAATCAGCAACCCTCCGCTGTTTGCTCTAAGGTTGAAGTCTATGTCTTCACAGAAGTACCTAAAATAATGAACCAAATCACCAATATTGTACTCCCTGTACAAAGTAAGAAATGTTTCCCTTCATAAAAGTGCCCCTTTAAATATCAGCTAAGCCAGCTTACCTGTTAAGATCATACTGCACGTTCTGGGTCAGGTCCACGTTGAGCAATATAAAGTCATGAACATGACACCTGGAGAAGGAACGCTTGAGGAAACTGGAATTTAACTTGCTGTTCCACTTTTGGATCCCCAGCATTGCATAGTTGGTGATCTTTGGCGTAGCTTCCATGTGCTGTAGCATATACTTCAGAGAGACATTCTTGATACCAGAATCTGTTTCTGTGGATTGGCTAGAAATATCCAGACGCAGATTTAGAATATGCCAGTATAGCAGTTTTCTAATACATGACCAGTATATAAAAGAGCTGTGAAGTGTGGTGCACAATCCATTTCCCCACATTTATGTGTATCAAGCATATATCTATAAAGGTGCTGGACATTGTATTACATTGCCATAGTTGCTGATCTTTCGGTGTCTGCTGAAAAAGTGTTTCGCTTTTATATGGTTATTTATTTGTATGTATTACATAACATTAGCTTCTTTTTATAATACGCTTTTAATAAGAGTTTATGTACAGTTTGTATGCTTCAGGTTCCTATCATACGACCCTGAGTCATTAGAGATCCTTCATTGGTGGATGATACGCCTGTCTGTTAACACAGGACTAGGGATAAAGATCCATTTCAGTAACGATGTGAAGAAGCAAAAGAAGCTGTCACTGGGATCCAATGATCCCTGTAACAGCTCTGTTTCCTAACTCTTGTAGTTCACTGGAGTAGATGTACGAAAGTGGCAGGTCCAACAATTGTCAGTAAAAAAGGCTTCATCTACTCTGCTAATGACAATTTTTGTCAGAGTCATACATATAACATTTCTAGTGACATTTTGCTGCACATGCTGCACTGCAAAGCACCTTCCTTTAAATACTGAACATGCCCCTTTTGCCAAGTAGTTGAAGCAGGCACAAAAGTCTTCCCACCATGATTTTCTTTAGGCAAGTATGTGAAGTTTTGTAGGCAAGATCATCTATCATACGTCTTTCTATACTTTAGACTGCACAGAATCTAGGATACTGAAAAGAAAGCAAATGCTGAACTAGGACACTTAGTAGTAGAATATGTATGGCAGCCTACGTATTATAATGTCAGCACAAGAAAAAAAAAAAATGTAAGCACTTCCCAGAGAAACTTGACTGCATTAATAATATAGGCATTGTTTTACCCTTGTACATATTAGCAAGTTCAGTTTTCATATGTTATATTTTCACTTACGTTGATTGCTCTGCAACTTTGCCATGTACATTCCACAAAACACAGGAGTCATCCATGATTACAATGAGTGGCCATACACACTGACGTTTGATTCCCATCTCCTCCATACGATTTCTCTCCAGTTCCAGGTTGTGGTAAGACAGCTCTTTGATAAGAAACCTGGAAGCCCCTATATATGAATAAGCAGTGCGTTCACATCAAAAAACTCCCTTTACATGAAATCAGTCAGCATTTTTTTACTTCATCCTTTAACAATCCTTAAATCATTACTTTCAATTATGATTAGCGATATTTAAACATGTAACCACATACTGTACTTAGTTTATTGTCCATTTTGTCTCCGATTTCCATGTGAATAAATCCATCTTCTAAAGAACAACTTCAGGCAAACTGGCTAGGTCCACATTGAAATAAATATTATATATGTGTGTGTATATATATATATATATA